ATCTCGACTCCAACTATTGATATATCCTGCTCTCCAAGTAATGATGCAAATTTGCATCTTGTCTCTCTGAAGATTGTTGATTGTGCGCTTCTTTTCGTTTCTTCTAACGAAATGATTCACTCCTTATATAATCTTCTCTATGTATTTGTGTTTATATATATAGAATCACTCTGTATATGATACAATCATTTCGGGAAGTTAATTAGGGAATGAAATGTAATACATTGTCGATTTGGAATGGCATTCGAGAGTGCGGTTTGCAGCCGGCAGCGTTAACTAATCTGCAATTAATTGCGAGCGAAAGCAGATGCCGATTAAATAGCTGAGATTTGAAGTCCCGTCGTAGCGTGCCTATCTAGTGTGCTCGGGACGAACGGCAGGAAGGTAGTCGGATGAGAGGAAGGACGTAAGGCCTGTCATATTTAATAGGATTACAGATAGACTGCTTTCTGCCTGCACACGCCGCTATATTACATATCGAATCGCGTCCGTGCAAACACCACGTCCGTCCGCGTTTCAATCTGCGCCAATAAAATCCTGAACAAACATGTAGAAATCACATAAAAATCATACATGTATGCAGAGCATTGTACACAGAAAGCTTCTGGCAGAGTGGAGGAAAAATACGCCAATAATATAGCTACACTCAAATTGAAACTCTTTTTACATTTCTCTCAATAAAACATTGCACTGTCACAGTACAGTTTCTATATGTTTCAATTCGATTTTATTTTTAATATTTAGTTTTCATCTATTGAGTTGTTCCGAAAGTAATTTCGTTTCACGAGTCGTTATTTGCATTTTCATTGTAAACATATTGTCATTATATTTTGATAGTTGAATTTCAAGGTTCAATTGATTCTTTGCATTTATTTTTGACGTTGCATCAAAAATAGAAAATAAAAGGAGAACATTTTTGGCATATTTTTTATTATTGAAAAGTATAATGTATTGCAAATGATGTGTAAACAGAAAGACATTGTCAAAATTTCATTCTGACAATTTTGATATTAAATGCACCACATTCTTGAATGGTACTTGCAGATGATGAAGACAAAATAAAGGTATTGCTTGAAACAAATCGCTGAATAATAATACGATTAACGAATTCGACCATTCGTGACCATGTAAAAGGAAATTGTTATTCATTTTCAGGAGAAAATTAACGAAGATACTTTCCAAACATATAGTAAACATCAGCTCTTCTAAATCTTTTAGCTGTGAGACCCAATATATTTATTTTTAGTTATATAGCGACCAAATTTCTAAGAGCACTTTACCATTTTCTTGCTTTGACATAAAGTGACATCTGTCATTTCGCGACCCATTAAAAAATTAACACGACCCAATTTTGAGCGGAAATTTATATTTTTATGACTTTTAACATATACAACATAAAGGTAATCTGAAATATTTACTATTGATATTAAGTATTAAACTATAATAAGCAAAATGTTTGTAGATTTATATAAAATATTGTAAACAATATTGAATATGAAATTACTATAAATATGAATTAATTGCTATTATTATTTATTTAATAATATTTACAGGCCCATTAAGGACCAAAGTAATTGTTATTCTTTATTATCAATAAATATTTTCCAAAAATATAAAATAATTCTATAAAAGTTCATATTTTGTTCACTAATTTTCATTCATGTTATAATATTTCATTGAAATAAACTATATTAAGCAACAATTTTTTTTTGAAGAATCAACAAAATACAGAAACTTAACACTGTTTATTCTTGATATTAAATTGAAATTTGAATGTTAATACAAGTGAAGTTACATGAAATAAAGAATTAAGTCCACATCGAAATATGTTTTGAGTACAAAATGTTTTTTCTCTCTTCTTTGCCCTGATTTGACTCTTTATTGAAGACTGCATTCAGAAGTTCGTGTATTCACGGTGGATGCGCCGGTTGGCTGAGATAAGTTTTCATTTACTTTCTGGTTGCATTTCTCATGTTTTCAAGTTTGTGAATTTATTCATATAATTATATTTTACTTAATATTAGTAATATGTATATTTACTAGCTATATTTCAATAATAATAACAATTCAATATATTTTATTGTTTATATGTGACAGTTAGAATAAATATTATTATTAATTAATAATTAGAAAACAATTGGTACTAAAAAGTATATATTTCATTCAGTGATCTATTTAAAATTATACTCTTAGTGCATATATCCAATGCAAATTGGATATATCCAATGCATATGCAAATTGATGGAACATAAGTTATATTGATCAAAATCGAATCGCTATGCACGTTAAGATTTCGCTGCTAATATAACTGTAATAAAGCATGTGGAATTATAATGACGCGTATTAAATTATAACCCACTAAATTAGTTCCACAGAGTGTTGCTTAATTTTGCAAAGAGGCGTCTCTCCTCTGAAGTTATGTTTAATTTACTTTCCGAAGTTTGCGGATATTTCTTTAACGTTTTTTTTGTATGATAAACTTTACACAGGCCATTAGCGATAGTGATTTTAACAATTCCATTAGTAAATTAAAGCCAAAATTCAATTATGTATAGTGCATGGCATTTATGTTTACTTTTATAAAAGTAAGAAAATAAAATTACGTTTATTAACATTTTTCTATATTAAATTAATAACTTAAAAGAGAAATCTATTTCGAAAAATATACTTTACTAATAAACATTTCAAAACAAAATTAATATAGGTGGAAAACATATCATATATAAATGATCATACAAGCATATACTATTTTATTTTAAGAAAGCAGGATAATTCGAATAGTTTTTATATTATATTGTGACTTTAAAAACTATATTTATAATTTATATTTAAAGGCTTTCAAACGATAAGCAACATATTTAGCTGAAGGTGCTCAGATGGGTGACCGAGTCTGTTTTATCACATACATCTATACCTTCCTATACTGCAGCTCTTTTTACGGCATTTCGCTATCTTTAATTATGGAACTTTTTGGATTTGCGACCCAAAATGTATCGTTAAACGGCCAAAAATATGAATAAATGTTTATATCAAAATAATAGATACTTTATACGGCTTTTCGCTTTATTGCCAACTTTTCCGGAACGTATTTAGGCCGTAAAGCGAGGTATGGGTATAGTCATATTTAAAAATATACATTGCATATAATCTAAAATATAATATTTGTATAATTTACTTTTTGTTTCAATATGTTATACTTAATAGGTTATAATTGTCTGGATTATAGTATATGTTATTTATAGAAATGGCTAAGTGCAGGAATACCTCACATAGTCCGGATAATAATTTCACCAATACTTCGGAATGTTTAAAACCAGATTAATTGAGGACAAATTGTACACATCGTCAATTAAAATTTAGATTGTTTTGAATTTTTCAAACCAGACTGATCGAAGTCTGTGCAAGGATTGTGCAAGGTATTTCCAATTATCATAGCTTATAATTATAATACAGCATATGTATCGTTTCCTTCCAAACATTTGCCAACATTTCAATCAATTAAGTGAAAATATTTGTCATAATATGTAAATATGCAAAATAAATTAATTGTATAATCAAATTTATTAAATACTAAGAAAATAGTTTTCTAATATTTATAAAATTTAAAATGTTAACATATTTAATATAATAAAATTTAGAAAGTCAAAATTCTCCTATTTGAAATTCGTTTTTTGAGTTAAATTTCTACATAATAGTTATAAATTGTAATTATTGATTTTAAAGCATGAATAAGTATATATAACGTTGAAACAATATATTCTATAATAATTAATGGTAGCAGAGATATTATAGTTCTCTATATGAATTACCATTATTTCATCTGGAATCTGCACTAGTTGTTATGATTAATTAACTAATGTCATTTATTTTTATCCGTTCTTGGTTCGAATTTCAAGTTTTTGTTCTAGTTTTAAGGTGTTCGTATATCGAATAGCTTAATGTTTAATTAATCGCTATAATCGGAAAATTATATAAGAATACCTTGTATAATCGGTATTTTTTAAACAAGACTAATAAAGGCCCATAAAACCGTATTCAAAGAAACAACAAAGAGTATGCAGGAAAAAAATGCTCAATTTAAATTTAGTTATTTTGAAATTTTTATACCGGATTATGGCGAATCCGTTTTATATTTTTGGAGTAAAAATTATATTTTTTCGCGCTATTAATTAGTTTTCATTGATTTTGTATTAATTAAAGTATTTATTACTAATTATTATTTTAAGTTTAGATGGTGCGTATCTATAATTAATATGATGACTATAATCTAACACTAACATCAAACAAAACATACAATCTTTATGTGAACATATAAAAGCATCATGTACGCGATTAATTGCGAGTTGCTGGCGCCATTTCGATAACAAATTCGTATTTCATGACAGATTCAAATTCGAAAATGGAAAAAGATTGTGGCTTCAGGTGAACGAAATAAATCACAGTCACGTCGATGAATTATGCAACGATCTGCTGCCGGTAATTAAAATGATTAAATGTCGCTTCATTGCGTATTCATTCGATCCTTGTTGCGTTTGTGTGCGTGTATGTGTACGTGTGAGATAATGAGAGTAAGATAGATGAAACAGAAGATGGGTTTTTAATGGAGGAAGGTTGATTGGATCGACTGATCATCAACAAAAATAATATATATTTATATATATAAAAAAATACTGTTATACAATTGATAAGTTTTTTTTTACATCCGATTGCGCGCTTTATCAATTGTTTGTCACGGTTATAAATATAGCTGGAAATCGACGTTATTACGCGATACTGGCAATAAATCAGCAGACCGCTTTTGCACGTACGTGCTGCGAGTGTGGGTATGTATGATTCATGCGTCGCGACGCCGCGTCTTTCGAAGCCATGTGCTTGCTAGATCGTTTTAGCGCGCGCCAAGATCATCCCTTGCAACATCGTAGATACGAAATAAACAAACCTAATGCAGTGAAGAAAAAACAACGCGCATGAAATATAGAGAGAGAGAAAAAAATACTTACCGTTAAAGACTCTGGGATCCTTCGACGATGATGACGACGTCGACAAGATGATCTTCAGCGAGGATAGCCGTTACACTTTTCAAACTAAATGAACCGTTTCTAAATGTTTGTTCCTTTCCCTTTCAGCTATCAATCGAACGATGTAGTCGCCTCCTCCGCTGCTGATCTCTTGAGATGCGAAATTTCCAACTTTAGTTCGAATATTTCCTTAAATTTATATTTTTTTAAATTTTATTCAACGTATTTTTTTTTCTATTAAAATTTGAAACTGTGTTTAAGTGATCATGAGGTGAGTAAGCGCGTTTCAAAAGTTAAGTTCTTAGGAGACAGGGTTGTATAGATTACGGACAAAGGAGGGTGGGTGCCGACGACCGCACAGACGCTATGCCCAGTGAGGACTAACGAGACGACGCCGACGTCGGTCCATCGCGGATGCTGCGCGCCGTCGTCGCCGCTTCCCCTCGACCGCCCCTTCGACAATCCATCTCTTTTCCTCTCGTTCTCTTCGTTCTTACACACATATACACACTCTGGCGCACGGTTGCCATAAGAGCAACTTAAACATTCGTTACGTAATTCCATTATTTCTGCATATCCCATAAAATCTGTTCCCAAGAATCCATTAGAAATTCTTCCATGGCCTGCTTTTTTTATATATACCCGTTACAATTTAATTTCAATTCACACTTTCATTATTAATATAATACTTTCAGAAAGAATTTTTGGTAATGAAAAACTTATGTTTTTCTCAAGAACTATTATCATTCTAATCAATTCAATGCCTTAATTTTTTTATTTAAATAAAATAGAACATATTTACTTTCTAAATTATGTATACTTATATTTTAGAAACTATTTATTGTAATTAATTATTATAATTTCTTAACAATATTTATTGCAACAATTTGTTTGTTTGTCCTCATATTAGTAACAGTGACTTGCAACTTTTAAGTTTACACTTTATAGTTTCTAACCGAAGTTGGGATATGCAATAGCATATGCACCTTTTAATACATTTTCTGGATCACTCACCGAGATGTTTTAAGATAATTGTTTCTTGAAAATGTAAGCGAAGCTTAACAACATATTTCTCAACTAAAATAAAGTTTTCGCGTAACTGAAACCAGAATGTAAACATTATATATATTAAATGGATAATTTTAATTAAACAAAATACTACACGGAATACTAATTAATTAATGGCGTGCCCTTTAGCCGGAATGCATGCTATTTTATAATATAATAAACAGCACGTATGATTTAATGTTTCGCTATTATTTTTGCGATAATTTTAGGAACTCTGGTATCCGAGAATCAGGTGCATTAAAAAATAAATTGATTATGTGTTTTATTGTGTTTCCATAACAAAAACAAAACGTTGTTGCTATGCGAAGTACACATTGAAATTCAGAAAATAATTAATTATACAATGCGCAGTGTTAAAATAAAACAATACGTATTTTACTTTAGAGAAAATGCTTTGAGTTTACTAATTTATAACAATTAATTTAAAAAATAATTAAAAATACATGTACAGAAGTCAATTAATTCCTAGAATGTTTCAAACTCGAGAAAACTGCTTCTTATCTTATGTGCCTTTCAAAGCACACGTAATTTTTAATTATGAGAAATCTTGATATACTTATGTTACGGTAAAAGTACATACTCGGTAAATGTATAATTTTATCTAGTAATTATGTATCAAATATTCAAATTTAAGTAAAGGAGGTTATTGCAAAGGAATCACTGACTGGAGGACAAGAGGACAAGGATTTAAAAGATGCAATTGCAAAACTAACTGGGTCTTGGAATCCTATAAAGAAATAAGTTAGTTGATGATCTTTACAATAGTTCATGGTTTAAAATCATTGAATTTAACTATATGAAGATTTTTTTTAACGCTTCCTTCATAAAATCCAATCGAATCATTAAATTTACCTATATATGTGTTAAAGTAAATTCGCTTAACGCTTTTTCGTTTAGCGCTAAATGAAGTCCTACTGTATTTAACTTTGGAAAATTTTCATTAAGTAGAATTCAATTTATGTACAAAAGATTAAAATTTTATTGATACCCACACAAATAAATTTTAAGGAAAATACTGCAATACCTCACATAGTTCGGGTAATCGGTTCTGACAATATCTCGCACAGTTTTAAACCAAATTAATCTAGGACTTTAAAACAATATAAAAATAAATATCATGAAAAGAGAATTGGCTGTCCGCACTATGCGAGATATTCTTGTATTTGACATAGAATATATTTACAAACAAGAAGATTTGTGACTTATCTAACAGTCGCTGATTACTTTTCATTGGAATCGATTTATTTCAGAACCCTTAATAAAGGTTTAATTATTTAAAATATATAGAAGAGGGTCTGCTTTTATTTCTTAAAGCATTAAACTTTATCATTCTCTAATGGTTAAGATATGTTCAAATATTGATTAACGCTATTTTCGTTGTTCTAATGAATTAATTTATCATTTCAGATAAAAATGTCCATTAAATATTTCTTCTTTTGTATGCAAAGACGTTATTTACAAAAATGTAAATTAAGTACTGCAAAAATCGAGTTGATATTACATTACATGAATGTATATTCATTTCAGAAAAAAATATATAATGTAATAACTACTATAACAGATGCCTTGTGTAATACGATATTACAGTTAATAGGATGCTTTTGTGAGAGTGTCTGGTATCATCTGCAAATATAAATGATAAAATGGAAAGTGAACCGTTTTAATTAATTAATGTTCATTATCGCGAAAGATCGGCATACGATGAAACTGCCTTTCTTCCGCGTATCTTCTTTACTCTTGAAGCCATTATTGTCTTTGATATTGAATAATGATTATGTAAACACCTAAATTCAATTATTTTTCAGTGTTTTGCGTTTCTAATATATTATACGTAAAAAAAATAAAGTCGAAAGACAATTCGTTTACGTTTGATTATTCTTCTTTTTACAATATGATACGAAAACATATCCTTTTTTTCTTCTTCATCCTCGCCCATTATCCTTCTCATTTCTTATTCGGTTTTTAATTTTTAAACAAAGCCGTGCTTTCCGCTTTTACTATATGTAATTCGCACGCGAGATTACGTTCGGTTCTCCTTTTTTCCCTCTAGTTCTTTCAGTGGAAATTTGCGGACAAAGGATCTATTATCTTTCACTTAATGAATTAACTAACACTTCACGTTTATTTCGACGGAAAGGAGCGCAAAAAAAGTAAAATAAAATAATATAGGGTTTTATGTTTGGGGCGTGCGGGCGGAAGTCCTTTCATTATTTTCCATTGTTGGCATTTGGATATGTTACATTGTGAAATGCAGGCGAATTCATCCAACATTAGCGAAAAAAAAATAGATTACGCAGACTACGATAAAATTGAATTTCACGGAAAAGTTCATGTCGATCACAAAATCAAACATAAAGTGTAATGGATGTTATTTGAAAATAAATGCTGCATTAATAAACTACCCGCAAAGTTTAATATAAACAAATTTAATTTATAAATATTAACTTAGTTACTTTTGTAGGGCGACTAATAGCCAAATGATGAAGTCGCCCTACCCACGATTCGAATCCTGGTCAAGCAATAGGGCCATTGTTCATCACAGGTGGACAGTCAAATGAATTGAGGTTCAATATAGAACTTCTTCAGGCAGTTTTCAACAAAAGCAAATGTCTACCGCCATAATACAAAAGAAAAGTTACATTTCTTATTGTAATGATATTTTTGTATATATAATAGATTTTATATAAACTTAGCATAATATGCCAAACAACTGAAAACTAAATAAATAAATCATCTATAATCATTGCAAATATAGAAAACTAAAAAAATATTGGGAACATCAAAGAATGAAGCAATTTTATCTTATTGTTTTCTTTTAATGTGAACCAGTGAGGTAGGCTTTTCTTATTGTTATTCATATAATTATCCTATTTAACATGCTTATCGTTATTACCTACAAATGGAATACAAAGTAAGTAACTAAAAAATCTAATTAATTATGAAATCTCATTAAAAAGGATGTAGGAGAAACAGGAATACAGATGGAAGTTAAAATCAAAGTACACGCGTTTCAATTTTTAATTATATTTCCCCATTTCCGGTACTCTGCATGAAAAAAATAAAATGTAGAAGGCAGCGGCCAAACTCACTTTGTAAAATACATTTATTTTTGCGTATTCCATTCCAGAGTTTAAATGTATGTTGTACATTATTCTATTTAATATGCACATACATAGTTTCTGTATAGACAATGTTATAATAAAACTTCGAAGAAAGTAAGAAATGTAAATACCTCTAGTAGTGCGGTTTCGATCAGTACGGATTCACTATAGTACGGTTTGGCAATTTAAAAAAAAAATTTAATTGAGCAAAATTAAAATGAATTCTATAAAATTTATGCACAACATTATAAATGACTTTTTTTTCTTTTGCTGATTCTTAATCCTCGATTAGTTCAGTTTCAAACAGTGCGAACTATGCGAGGTTATTATTGTTGTGTCCAATTATTATTATTATAATTGTTACTATTGAGTATGTAAGCGAACTATGTATTTGTGCTAAAACAATTCATAATACAAGAAGTTGTTAGATCAAATTATAATAAGATATTAAGCAGAGATAATGGAAAAAGTAATAAACATTCAAAATGAATTCTAGCTATTAATAAAGAGAGAGAAAATATTCAGTAACGAAAATAATTCCGAAAGAATATATTTTACTTATAGTCAACTGGAACAGTGCAATGAGCACAAAAAGGATTAATATTAAAGAACGTAGTTAAAGACGAAAATTGCATATTTTATACATTAATGGAAATTTGTAATTTTCAAGGAAATTTAAGAGAATTTTAAAACAAGTTATAATTTTCACCATATTTATTAAATGATTATTCATTGCCGAAAGAGGCTAAACATATTTCGGAAACTGATAATGAATGGGGAGATGACGATATCACAATAGAATTTAAAGTAATGAAAGCGCTAATATCATATTAGTTTTGAAAACAAACTTTATTAACTTTTTTAGAATTAGAAAACTGATATTAATTAATTTTTATGCCAATTGATTACATCTGCTATACTTAGAAGTTAAGGATTTCACAGTTTTATGTATTTTATTATAATTATTGTTCTTATTACCATTATTATTATAATTGTTATTGTTAATAGAGTGTATAAACGAACTATGTATAAGATACATCCACGATGTCTCTTATCCACTGTGACGTGTGTGTAAGATATACATAATTCGACATACGATTATACTCTGGACGAGTCCATTTTCAAATTATCCCCTATATCCCCTATGTTGGGCGTGGATCCCACTTTGGGAAACACTGCTTTAAACTAAACAAAGAGGACCAAGCGGAAACAATTC